GGTGCTATTACAACGCATGGTTATCGGTGATCGTGGCTTTTCGTAGGTTACACGTATGGTCAGTGGCGTATATAGGAATTAATTTCGGGGGGGGGGGGGGTATGAAAAAATATATACAAAATGAAGGTTATAAATTAACTTATTTTTAATAACTATGAAAATTAGAATACATAAATTTAATTACAGTACTAAGTCTAATTTTCGAGGTAGATTTGCAAAATTATTTATCACTTCTTCAGTGTTTATTGAAATACTTCGATGAATTGACATAAGAGCTAATCCTGTTAGTCGATTTTCACTTGTACTATTTCTCAAGCACGACTTCAATCTTTTCAATATCGAAAACGATCTTCCTGAAGACGCTGTTGAGATTGGTAAAGTTACTAATATTGACATTAAGCACCATATATTTGGAAAAAAATCAACGGATAGTTTATTTAAAATATCAATAGCAGATTTGGATTTCTGACAAACCACGGAACATTTGCAATTATTCTGAGGACTTTGTTTTGGAAAATTTGCATTTTTTTGATGTGCGAGGATGAACAATAACCCCATACCAGGCAAGCGTAGATAAGAATTGGGCGTATAATTTGCTTAAAAATTAGGAGAGAGCATTTTTTCCCCATACTAGACAGTTTGGTTTTAATTAATACATAGATTAAAGAAATGCACACGTGGGTCGTACTAACCATAAATTTCGGAGGGGGGTTGAACCCCCAAAACCCTCCTATATACGCCACTGACCGTTATCCTCCAATGTCCATTTTCCTCCAAAAAAAAAAAAAAAAAGTTGGTTTCCATTTTCCTCCACATTATTTTTGACTAAAATTATGTCTATTATCCTCCGATATTTTAGCCAGTGTTGTAGGACCATATTTTGCGCGTATTTGTTGATTAAATTCTGGTCGCGTTCTTATCGACTAGGGAATACCGCTAGTTTAAGTGTCCGGCAGCACTCTCAGTTTATAACAATCGGTAACTTAATTTTGTAACTTTGATTACGATTAATCAAGATTCATACATATATGGGCATTTACATTTATACTTATATTGTTATACTGTATATCATAGTTTATCACTAATTATTATGATTACACTTAGGGTTGTAAAATTTCATGAAACATATAATTTGAGTGAAAAATAAAAATTTTGTTTCATTTCAGTAAAAATATAATACTTTTTGTATTATTAATTGTACTAAATATAAATAAAAAATAGCTTATATACTCGTCAGGGCCTGCGCTACCTTTTGCGAGGCCCTGGGCTAAACTTATTTTACCCACAACAATGGTCACCTATAGTGGATAACATGTAATATACGCGATATCGGGTAATGATTGATTAAATTTAAGAAATGCGATAAAATAAATGTCCTATGTATCCCTGAGCGGCGTGCCGTACGGGTGTCGTCGTTGGTATACATGACTTATGAAATATAATAATGTTGTTTTGTTTGTTAATTGGTTTTTTTTACACGCCAACGGATTTCTTTAGAAAGGCGATCTGCACATTTCACGTTTTATTTTATGAGATTTCCGTACAAAATATTTTTCAATTCAAATTTTAAGTGCGAGGCCCTGGACAAATGCCCGTTTCGCCTCCCCCTAACGCCGGCCCTGATACTCGTAAATTAACAATTAACACCATATTAGTTTATAGTTAAAGCTTAAAATTTAATATTTGTTTCTCATTACCTCTAAGATAGATTCAATGAGAAGATTGGAATATTTTCATAGATTTTTTCATAACTGTTTTTAAATCTGGAGTTATTCCTGAAAGTGAAATTCGTAAGTCTGAAGCCGCGTTCAGTTGATTTCGAAACTTATTCTTTGTCTTTGTATACGCCGAAAAGCTACAAACTATGCACCTCATATCGGGAAATGTGTCAATTCCAGTTCTATGTTGAGTTCTATGTTCAAATCATAGTCCAAATCAAAATATTGCTAATTAATTTATATTTTCTTAAATTTCTAACGGAACCCTTCGCGCAAGCTCACGGAACCCTTAGGTTCCGCGGAACACCAGTTGGGAAACACTGGACTATACCACGTTAAATGGGAAACCCCAACATTGTACCGAAATTATATCAGACAATATCAACTGATTAAATGACATTAGACAGTCACTATCACAAACGTAAAAAATAATGTTTTAAAATATTTCAAATTTACAACCCTAATTACAGTCATTGAGTGAGACAGATACACAAATATACGATATACTAGAAAAACTAGAAACTTCTGAGCTACAATCCGCTGCAAATTACTTTGTTGGCATTTATCCCAATGATTTAGAATCTTCACTTGGTAATGAATTGATAGAGCTTCTTTATCAAAATATATATAGAAATGCGTAAGGATAATGAGCAATGGTAAATGTTTTTACATAGGATTATTGAGGAAAATAATTAGCAGTATAAATTTCTTAATGTAGAGTAGTGCTTGCTGCATATATATTTAGTTTTGATGGTGTCCAATTGTAGCGGGGAACGATCATTTTCAAAAATTAAATTAATAAAAAACTAACTACGAACTTCAATGACACAAAGTTAATTATCAGCATTTGCGCTGTTAAATTGAATTACTACGATTATTGGATTTTTCACAAGTTGTTGAAAAATTTGCGACGACGAAATCTCGCAAAGTTATATAACAATTATTATTTAAGTTCTGTATTTATACTAAAATTATAATTGGTAGTATCTATTATAATCTTCTAATATATGTAATTTACTATCTTTATTGTTTCATCACAACAAATCATTGTTTTTTCCTAACATAAATTTTGGTTATAAATATATGTGATAAAAAAAAAATTTACTAAAAGATTTTTTAAGTAAAGTAATTTTTTAGAGGACTCATTTATATATATATATACATTTATTTATTATTTATTATTATTTATATATATATATACATTGAGAAAATGACCAATAAACTATATTTGTTAAATTTTTATTGTGAGATTCTCAGTAATATAATAGTCAATTTTGTAAAATATAATCATTATATTTTACTTATAAGAGCTTTTTGCATCTTTTTTTTTTCTTTTGAATCATGACCTGGTTGGGAACCGTTTTCGCATTACTTCCGCCCAAATTTTTTCACCAGAGACCTGAGGTTTTAACTACTTTCACTAGTCAACTATTATTAAGGTAAACTAAATCTCTGGATACTCAGAAAATTCTTTGAGCAAATTTTTTTGCTTTCAAGAATTAGATTAATGACTATTTTAAGGTAAACTTAGAAACTTATTTATATAAAATCTTAGGAAAATTAGTTTTCATGAAAATATTTTACTGTATTGTTTATTATAATTAGAAAAAATAAATGCATTATACTTTTACCATTAGGTATATCAGCATGTACTACTAGTTTATTAAAAATACAAAATTATAATTTAGATTAATACTGTAAGTGTGTAAAATAAATTAACTCAAAACAGTGGTTTTTAATTTGTATGCTACGATACATTAAAGTAAATAAGTTTTGCGATGTGTTGACATTTTCTTTTTAATATCACTCAATAATAGCAATAGTATTTATCATAAATTAATTAATTTAAATATAAATAGATACACATAGAAAACTTGGTTATAATTTTAATTCAATTTTTTACTTAAAGAAAATTAAATTAAGTATATATTTAACTTAAAAATTGGAGTGCTATAAAAATTATGTGAAGATAGTGATATTTATACAAAGGTTGAAAACCACTGATTTCATAAAATAACAATCTGATGTGATTAAAAATAATACATAAATTAAATGAAATTTAAATCAAAGGGCCTGTGTTAAAGTTTATATATATATATAAAAAAAAAAAAAAAAATATATATATATCTTATATCTAAATTAACTACAGACTAATACTGGTGCATTAGTTTTATTATAATGTGAGATACTAAAAATATTAAGTGTCATTGTTAAACAATATCTATAAGGCAGAATAGACATGTCACATTATAACATTAGGTACTTAAATAAAAATACAATTTTTGAACATGTAGTTAATTAAAATCTATTTAAATCAATGGAATGCATGTGTTACATAAATGCTCATAAAAAAAAAATTGATCATACAAATATAATAACAAGGAATATTCAATAGTGGGCAGTGAAAGGTGAGGATAAAAATTTGATCAAAAATATATTTTAATAAATTGGTTGTACTAAAAAAAATTGAATTTAAATTTATAAAAATAAAATAAATGTATATATATTTTTTATATTAATATTGTCATGAAATGTAGTCACTTTTAAATAATGTGATTCCTAGTTACCTTCATTATGAATTTGAGAGTAATAATAAAAAATAAGTTACTGTTAATGAGTAATACTGATTACAAAATAATAATACATACTAAACATATAAAATTATTAGAATATATATATATAACATAACAAATATTTAAAAAGATTCAAATGAAGCGCAGGCATAGCGTGAATGTTTAAATAAATACCAAATTAACAGGAAAATCACAACAACGATAAACAATCCAAAGAATGTAGCAAAGGATAAAATAAAAAGTTGTAATGACTAAGAAATAATTGTTATATATATATAGTTATATACACGAAATTTAAAAATTCATTATAATATAATTATTTTAAATGCATTGTTACTTAAATTTTCCAACTGAAATTTAATAATTGTAAGTCTATTGAAATTATGTTCACAAATTTTAAAAGGTTTTATCACAGATAAGGAAATACTAATATGATATTAATAGATACGTTACAAAAATACAACCAGTAGTTACAACAAAAGACAGTAATAGCATCCTGCAATAGTTTTTTAGTATTATTTAGCATTGCTAAAATAAGGAAAAATAATACTGACATGAATAGCTTTGATTTTAGGACAGGGATTTTGTTTATAAAATGCATAAAAATATTTTATGTATAGCCTAGTAAAACGAGTATATAAGTTATAAATATTTGTTGGTAATTATTAATTATACATAGGTGGCAGCAGAGGATGAACCAGTAACAACTTGAACTGGAGATTGTTGTTGAGGTGGATGTTGGCGATTTTTTCTTGCTGTGCCATACTGACCAATGAAAGATCCATCTTCAGTAAACTGAGCTGTACAATGAAAAACAATTTTAAAAATTAGTTAATTTACTTTTGTAATCGTGACGTACTCACAAAATTAGACAAGTGTGGCAAAACCGGCAGAAGTGGTTTCACCTTGTCTTTTTTTACCATACAAGCCAATGAAAGAACCATCTTCATTCATTCCTTCTACAAGTGAAATAGAGAGAAAACAAAATAATAACTAACATGCATGAAATTCAACAGTAAATATAAAACATGTGCAATTATATAAAATAAATATTCTTAAACATCTTATAAAAAAAAAAAAAAAAATGGAAATATATCAGACTTTAAAAAACTTAACACTTAAAAATATGCATAAGTATCTTATTTTTATGAATGTATACACAAACAAATTTACTTTTAGGGCATTAAAAAATAATTATACACCATGTAAAACAAAACTAAATAAAACAATATTACGTGCATAAAAAAATGAAGTTGTTTAGACCCAGTACATATCGGTGCTTTAAACACATATTAACTATTCAATCCTAAAATAATGTTAACCTAAACTAGATTCAAAAATTTAATTTTTAGTTGTATAAAATATGTATTTGTTATTAAAAGAAAATCATTTATGATTTTATTTTTATTATAAAAATATTATAGTATATCAATACTGAAAAATATGATCTATTTAAGCGATTTAAAAAATAAAAAGATAAAGAATGGTCTAGGCTAGAATATCTTAATTAACTAAAAACAGAATCGCACATACTTATATATTATAATTGATTATATATACTATGTAATCAAGTACATATAATCAATGATATTATATATCTAAAATATTTGAAAGAATGCTATCAATAACTTAATATATTTAAAATCCTAAACCAGAAACTAAATACCAGAATAAAATAATTCAGGTTTAAAGCTTCGATACTAATAGTTAACTACATAATAAAAAAGGTACTTTTATGTGCAACAACCAAACAGTAAAAAAGTCTCATTATGAATAAAATATGATGCAAATAAAATCAAAATTATATTTACCTGTATCACCTTCACCATACTCTGCCATTGAATCTGTATCACTTTCTGGTGATTGTTTTTCACTTCCTAATCTTTTTGCACCACCAAGTCTAAATAGTAATAATAAATATCACAACAATATATTTCTATTAATTTTAATATTTTGTAAAAAAATTAGTTACGGCTGTGAATATTCATGGAAATGAGGTTCGTCAGGATAATCATGTCGACCACGAGCAGCTTCTGATTCATGAACTACATACTTTCCTCCTCTATTACGTTTCACAATACATACCAGAATCAATAAAATTATGAGGAATAATAAAGCAAGGAGCATTGCAATAAACCAGCCAGACGTAGCCATGTTTTCACTTCTTCTAATTAATGGATCTGAAAAATAAAAAAACTTAAATATTAGTCTATAATTATAATTTTTGAAGAATGTGTAGCAGCTCCCTAGATATCTTTGTGAACTAGACATATTTAATGTGTTAGATACAACTGATGTATATATTATAGTATTATTTCAGACAATAGTTAATTATGTCATTAATGAAAGCTTTATAAATGCTAATTTAGTAAAAAAAATTTTAGTCCTATGATCTTCATGTTTAATACAATAAATAAATAGTCAATAAGTTTGTTCCAACATGGAATTTGGAATTAGTTGCCAACTAATCCGTGATTAATTTACTGCGCATGCGTAAATGTGCATTGATTACGGACTCTGAGCTCTGTTGGAACACTTTTTGGATTTTCAATGATAAGATATGAGATTGATAATAAATTAGTAAAATTAAATTGCGACTTAAATAAAAAAAATTTATAATATGTATATACTTTCTATTTTAAATATTTTAAATACACAGTTTAGATGTTAATAATATGTATTTGTATAAATATTATATTTATGTCGTGAAACAAAAAAATTGTTGATAAATGTTAAATGAAAATTCAAACGCGAAAAAATTGATAAAATGAGTAATAAATGTGATAATAGTTTCTCTGACTATTAGTCCCTGCCGGAATTAGCAGACTGTTTTGATAGTCCACAACCAATCTTAGAACTAGTCTAATGACGTGTTGGAACAAGCGTCAAATAATTTGAGTTTGCGTTTAGGGTGATTGGAACGCAAAAAATATACTGCGTATGCTCTCATCAGTTCTATGATAGTTTGACCACGTGTTGGAACAAGCCAATAATCAAATTAGATAAAATACCAGTGCTCGATGCTTCAATTTCAACTATGTCTGAATCTTTCATAGTATCACCATCGACAGCAACCACAATAAATTCATATACTTCTTCTGGTTTCAAACCCTTTACATCAATATAGTTTTTGTCAAGCTCTGGATTAGTTTTCTCATATAAATTATCACCTTTGAGCCTAATAATAATAATTCAAATAATTCAATGGAAATTCAATATATATAAATTAATATTTAATTATAAGCTAATAATTATTACTTGTATTTTACAAAGAAGTGTGAACCTGGATTGCCATCAAGTTTAGGTGTCCATAAAATTCGAACTGTATCAAAAGCATTACTATTAGGTCTATGATCATAAGTAAACTCTGGCTTATCTAATTCAGTTCCCTCTGGCAAAGGTGATTTGGTTTGTTGTTCAATAAAATATCTATTAAGAAAAAATAATTTAAAATAATTTCCGTAGTAAATTTACAATACAATAAAAAAAAAAAAAAAATAAAAATATGTATACATACGCTTCACCAACACCAGCTTTAGTGGTTGCTTTAATATAGATTCGATAATTAGTAGCTGGTTTTAAAGAAGCCAATTTAGCAGTAGTCTGATTAGGATCTGTAATAGCTGGACGTTGAGTTTTTTCACCAACTCCTTGTTGAGTCATAGGCTCATATGAAATCTCATAACCTGTTAATTCCCCATTTGTTTCTTCAGGAGGCTGCCAACTCAATAAAATTGCAGATGAACCCCATTGTTCAGCTTCAACTCCATGGACTGGACCTGGAACTACAATAAATATTTTCATTAATCACAATAATTTTTTTAGTTTTATTTATAATCTACTATGAAGACTAATACATAATGAATCAAAAAATAAAAAACAGAAAATCATTATTATAAATATTAAAATTAAATTTCTAGTTCAAATCATAAATTTTCCTATAGATTTAAATAATTGTTTAAATGAGGATAATGAATCTTATATTAATAATTAATATCATTCAGTTTTAATTAAAAATAAATATAAACATTAAAATATATGTATGAAATGTTGCAATATATGAATGTATAAAATTAGTCAAAAATGGTTAAGTACTCAAAGAAAAAAGAGCAATAGTCTAAAGAAGAGAATTCCAACAAAAATTGTTAACCAACATACTCTGTCCAGCAAGAGAACACACAGTGGCACAATCAAAATTAGTTGATTCTTGTGCATTTCCAGCCCATGCCCCGCCATAGAATTCCCCAATAAAATCGCTTCATTAACGATTAATAATAAAATATAATAATCACAAAATGCATATGAATATCCTATAAGGGAGGAAATAATCAAAAGGTTGTTTATCGACCATAGCTAAATTATATAAATATCATATTATTATAATTGATTAGCTGTCTTTTGAACAATTGGGTAGTTAAGAGAAGGAAACAAGATCTTAGCAATGGCTTAATTGTCATTCTACAGGTGCAGAACGTGCACATTCACTCAATAGACAGACTAAAGTTGAAAAATAAAAATCATTCAACAATTCAGATTTCTACATTTATTTTAAGCAACTAACTTAAATAATGAAAATTTTTCTGTTTATTAACTATACAGTACATAATAAAAGAAAATCTGTAGGGGTGAATGATTTAAAATAAATATATTAAATATATTAGTTTACTCATTAACATAAATATTTCAATTTACCTCCTTCAGGTGTAACAAAAGATACTATTTGACTATGCGGTCCATGGAAACGACTATTGTATGCAAGAATACGCACATAATGTTTAACATTAGGTAAAAATTTTGTTATTTCAACTGTAATTTTTTCTGGACCAACTTGCTCTTCGATTACATTTTTATCATCTTTTTCAGTCCAAAATTGAATCTATACCAAACAATATTGCATATTTTAACTAATATTCACAAATTAGACATATAATTTAAAAATGTATTTACCTTGTAGCCTTTAAAGTTGCCTTTAACCGATTCAGGTAAAACTGGTTGCCAACTCAATATTGCACTCCTACTTCCAGTAACATTTAATACTGTCAAGTTTTGAGGTGCCTCAACAGGAACTAAAATATTTTAAAATTTTAATTTCAATGATCAATTAATTTAATTTTTCAATTTACCATCTTCTCCTGAATATCCAATAACTTCTTTGTGGGGTACATTTGATTCACCTTTTTCATTTGATGCAACTACTTTTACTTTATAACGCTGATATGTTGGTTGATTATTAATAACTAATTTGTCTACAGTATAATCTGTTATCTCTTCAGAATTCCAAGCTTGGCCAGGTATATCTTGCTTCCAGTAAACTCTATATTTTAAGCCAGGACCATTGTGTTCAATTTTGGGCATTGGCTAAAAGCATTAACATTTTTTCATTATAATTTTTTTTTTTTTGTGAAATAGTGAGATCATAGTAAAATGGATTTTAATTTATAATAACACTCACCGTCCAGCTAATAACAAGGTTAGAAGGTTCTGTACCAGCAGCCTCAACGTTTTCTGGATTCTTGTATGGTACATCAGGTTGTGTTGTGCAAACCGCTGAATGTAATGATGGTTGTGATCTACCAATTTTGTTAACGGCAATTACTCGAAATGTAAAATTTGCCCATGGTGTCATTGAAACAATGTACGTTTGATCAGATGCAGGAACGTTATCTGATGCAACTGACCAACTATCAGAAGCAAAGGTGGTATTGTATTCAATAATGTAACGTAAAATAGGTGAACGATTATCTCCTTTTGGTTGCCACTTTACAGCTGTATCTTTTTTATTACAAGTGATCCCTAGTAACTGTGGT